AACGCTTATATTATTATACATATATACATATATACATATATGCATGCAACAGTATTTAACCATATGGCGCTTGCTGCCGCTTGAAAATCATTTAACCAGGCGCGCGTAGTGCCTATAAACGACTATGAGCATTTTTGTTTCAATTTTTATGTTTGATGGCTGCAATAGCCGCCTGATTAACAGTGCGGACTACCGCGCGGAGAGTGATGTGTGCGAACGCTGGTCAGACTAACATGCAAAAGCGTCTAAAAAGGTTTCTCTACATACGTTCAGCACTAGGCAAGGAATGTCACCCCTTATAAATATAAAAAACACTTCTCATAAAAATCCAGTAACCGTTCAAAAGGACTATGGTCCTTCTCAAGCTTGGGTATACAACCTGCTGGTTAGTGGCTTACGAACTTGCCGAGGGTAAGGCATGCCTCCTGTATGAAGCGACTAAAATCCAATATTTCCTGCGATAGTCGGATATTATACGGGAAGAGTTTTACGATTACAACAACAACAACTAAAGTACCTCTATTTACGGAAAAAACAGCAAGAAACTCACTATAGGAATAGAAATTCGGCCAAAAAATCGCTTCATCATTTACAAAGCACCCATATTTTTATTCCCTTTTGTGCTCTTCTATATGGCAATAATATGTTTCTTCAGCAAACTTTCCACTCCTCTCAACTTAATTTTTTAAGTGAATGTTTGCATGTCTGGTGCGCATTTGTAGGCATTCAAAAAGGAAGTGATATTTTAATTGATATGTTTTAGACGTACATAAACATGTATATCATATGCAGGTAATATACGTTTTGTGGCAAGGCGAGAGACGAGAAAATATATGTGTAAGAGAAAATCGCATGTGAACTTAAAATAAGCGACAGTTATTTGCGTAGAATTGTAAATAATTAGATTTTATTACTTATTGCAGCATTTTAATGAAGTAAGGGCTAGAGGAAAAAATATTTCCGAGCAAAATAGAGTAAAATATTGTACTTATAGTGATTTCTGAGCCATGTAAAAGCAGGCAGTGATAATGAAATGGCAACTGCTGTGACCAGAACATTTTTTGTACATTTTTTTACTCTTAACTCCAAATTCACTTTCTTGCTAAACTCACATATCATTTTCAGATTTTTGCGCTTCAAATAATCAATATTTCATCCGAAAATAGCTTATTTAAAATTTTTAATTACGTTTACCCGACTTTTAATTTACTTGTACTATTACGCCCTTCATAGTTTTTAATTTTCACTCGTCAGCGACTGTAGCCTTGACATCAGCTACTGAACACACTTAAAATATGGTATACACACAAGAGGCTACATACTTGTGAATATATGTATATATCTACACGTACTTGGACTTGACTCTGTGCTAAAAAAAAAAACTTTTCACTTACCTCACCTTCATCTCTCTCATCAGTACGGTTCTTCATAAATTAAATCTGAATTTACTTTATAGTTGGCTTCTTCTCAAGAGAAAATTATTTTTACCTTAAATATTTCATTGTCATTCAAAACTGACACAATGCTCTATATACATACATACGTCTGTATCACTTAACGCCTGTCTTTGCTCCACTTTATCTTCACATCGACATCAGCCAACCTCTCCTTCTGCTTACATATTTATTTACTCACTCATTTTGCATATGAGTTAGCGCTTAAGTGAACTTAAGTAGGCCAGATGCAACTTTAGCAGCTACTACTTGCTGAAATATGCAAATCAAGTGGAAATGCGGCAAGTCAAAATGTCACAAAGTTGCATTTTAATTACTTCGGCATGTGGAGAGTGGGAGAATTAATTAAAACGTTATTGTACTCGTAGTAAATTTAAGAGAGTTAGAGAAATATAAGTTAGGTTATAATTAAGATTTTAGTTAAAACAAAGTTGCTGTAGCTATTTTTGGTAAATAACAGTAAATTATATTAAATATGAGTTAATCCCTTCTTCATATATCAAGTGTACAACTTTGCTTCCGCCGTTTTCCGATAGGTGGCTGTACCGGCTAAGGCTGGTGGAAATACATAGATAAGAATGCCTTTAAAATGAGTTTGGACAGTGCCTAATGAATTGTCATCACCGTTTTAGTGACAGTTGGTCTTGTTTTCGTATTATTCACGCTCGAAAAAGTCAATTTATGTCCATCAAATGCTCTCAGAAACTTACGGTGATGCTGCTCTGAGTGAAAGAACGTGTCGGGAGTGGTTTCAACGTTTTAAAAATGTTGATTTCGATGTCGAAGACAAACATGGTGATGGAAGAGAAAAAACCTTCAAAACCTTCAAAAACTTCTTAAAACCGGGTGAAACCATCACAGGAGATCGCTACCGAACGCAACTGATGCGCCTTAGACGCGCGCTAAAAGAAAAGCGTCCACAATATCAAGAGCGAAATGACAAAGTCATCCTCCAACACGACAATGCTCGGCCTCACGTCGCAAAAGTGGTCAAAAAGTACCTAGAAACGCTGAAATGGGAAGTCTTGCCCCACCCGGCGTATTCCCCAGATGTCGCCCTTTCTGACTTCCACCTATTCCGTTCGATGGCACACGGCCTGGCAGATCAACATTTTCAATCCTTCGAAGAATTGGAAAAATGGATTGCTTCATGGATAGCGTCAAAAGAGGACTCCTTTTTTCGAGCCGGGATCCGAAAATTGCCGGAAAGATGGAAGAAAGTTGTCGCTAGCGAAGGACAATACTTTGAATAATATACAATATATGTAAGCACTTTTTCGCAAATAAAGCTTTTAATTTTGGAAAACGGCGGAAACAAAGTTGTACTCCTGATATTTGCAGAGAGACTGACGATTAATTAGTTCACAGTGTCAAGGCACTGAGGTAAGTGTTAGAATCTTTATTACGTACAAGGAAGGATTAATAATCCATATTTTGTTTTGTTTTTTTTTTTAGTACTTCGTGTACAGCAAAGCTTACAAGGGAACGGCAGTGTAAATAGTAGTCCAGTTTGACCCAAAAGCGGAAATTTCTTGTTTGAGAGAATCAGGCCAGCTTTGCGAGGAATGGATAATACAAGCAGAACTCAAATCCATCGCAACACAGCAAAGCATTAGTTTGTAAGTATTGTAGTCCGAAATAATTTCCAAGATAGTAAATCGATTATTTTCAGAATTTTGTGTACAGCAAAGCTATCCACTGTTTCAAGATTTGATTAAAAAACTTCGATGTACTTTGCGAGGAGTCTGTATCTCTTGTTTTAGACGCTTATGATATATGAGTTCTCAATACTCAGAAGTGGCATATGATTTCCTAGATATTATATTAAACCTTTCAGAAATTTCGATACAAAAAATCGCTTAGCTATTTCAAGCTAAGCACAATATTAAGCAGCAGAACACAAATTTGCAAGGGGTTTATGTCTTATGTCGCTGGTGATATAATATATCATTTGGTGAAAATCAAAAACAGGAAAAAATTCTATCCACGCAGCACGAAAATCATGAGTGGAATATATTAATCGAAAGTCAGTTTTATTATTTTTTCCGAAGTTAAAAAAAGGGTTTTTTATTTTGAATTCTCCCAAAATCTAGTCAAGTTAGGGGCACAAAATCAGAAGTGTGATCAATTTTACTCTCTGCAATGCAGTATATGTGTATATTTGACTATCTCTAATTACTGTAGCGATTTTCGACCGAGCTCCTCCTCCACTTTGTTGTATTTGTCTTGATATTTTCCAAAAAATGAAGGGACCTACAGCATATTCTGAGCCGCCTTCGAATGCCGACCAGTTTTTATTAGGCGCTTTTTTTCAGGTCATAAATACATTCGCAGAGCTTGATATTTCCTGCCGAGAGGCGATTGTCAATACAATAGAGGGTGCTCAAAAAATGCATAAGCTTTGCAGTGACATTCGTAACATTTAGCTAACAAATCTATCTATGGGGTATACTAACGAGAAACATGGAATCTAACCAAGAAACATCTGCTTTCAAAACCCACCAAGCATGTCAGACTACTGAACAAGTTTTTCGTACACTTTACTTTTCCCTGCTATGAAATTGATACTTGATAACATTTTAACCACGCTTTTCATTATCCTTATTTCATTGTGTGTGATGGCATATGGAGACGACAATAATAATTAAAATTCAACAAAAGCGTTGAAAATACAGAAACAGTAATAAAAGTCAATATTAAATGGCGCCAAGTGGCTGAGCGACTAGATATTGCGACTACGTAGGATATAAAGAGCAGTAAGCAAGGTAGACAAAGTGAAACATAAACCAAGCATACAGTGTGCCACATAGCCACAGGACAAACAATAAATATAATGACTCAGCCAAAAGGAGGCTAACCGATATAATCAAGAGCCGGACTGAGGTGAATAATAAAATTGATGAAAATACGTAATTTTATATTAATTCGCACTTTGATGACAACGCGCCACAGTAAAAGTAGAAATTTATGATTTTCACAACTCTCTTAGGGCTAAGTAATAATAGTAATGAGTGGTTTATTGTTTTTCCTTTTATAGCTATTGAGAGCTATTAAATATTGTTAATTGCGCCCAAAATTTATGGACATTCACGAATTCTGTATTTACGAATTTAATTTATTATTTTACTCACGCCACATATTGCAGCAGCAAAACCTTATTGTCTCTGTGGATATGAATAAAAATTTTATGCACTTAACTTTGATCAGTTTTGGTGGCATAAATTTTAATGATTGGTCAAGAGATGCTGAGCCAATGGTCGGTTTGTTTGAATTCATTTTAAACTTTTTGTCTGTCTGCAATTTCTCACCCCCAAACTTTTTGACTAGAATTTAATTATCATTTTTATTGCTGACAAATTACCTATTAAAGGTGTGAGTTTACATATTTTATCTACACGTTTGAATCAGTCTGCTGATTTCACAACTTCTGTATCACCTTAAAGGACTTTTCATACTTTCATATCCTTGACTGCACATTCCACTTGCGCTCCACTCTCACCTTTGTCCACATCAATTTCACTGATTCCTCTACTAACATCCATTTACCTCTATTTATGGCCTTCCAATCGACCTTGTAACTTGCTTATCCTTATCCTTGCTACATTATTGCCTGCCACTGCCGTTGGCTGCCGTGTTATCCTTGCGCTTGTCATGTCATCTGTTTATTTTTGGCAAATCGCAAGCGTTTGAATTATTTATTAACTCCTGTAAAACTTTGTTGGCGGTTAGTTAAAAGAGAAAAAAAGAAACAAAAACTTTGTTGCTGTATATTTTTGAGAAAAGTTTATTTTATGAGAAAGAAATTTTTTTTTCCATTCAGAATATTATTATACAATCACTTGATGGATATTTTGGGTTATGTGTAAATAATATGTTTTCAAAACTATATAGATAGCCGCATAAAGTTGTGCTCGCTCGTGACAGTTTGTTTGTGTGTGTGTGAGAAAAGGTGAAGGTAGCGAAAAGTCGAGAGTTCGTAGAAGTTAATCATGGTCACATCAGTTTCATGCAATTAACTAATTAATTTTTCGAATATAACATTTGAAGTTATTAAGTGCCACACTAGATGCTTGAAAGGTTGGTTTTCCTGCAATTTTAAGCCGAAACAAAGAAAATTCATTCTCTGTGTATAACGTAAGTTCCTCTCCGCAAATTTTCCAACTAGGAGAGGATGCACAGAGGGAAGTTAGAAGTACCATCCATTTGTCAAGGTATTAAACTTCGACAGGAAACTCTACCTGTGTTATACTCACTCTCTTCATCTATGATATTCGTTCTCAAAAAATCCAGAAAATTTTTTTGAGAAATTTGGGAGGTTTTAATTATACGCAAAAGTGCTCAGAAGTTTTTGACTGCTGTCGCAAGAGGTTCAAGCAGTTTCCGATCTGTGATCAGATGTCATCTATTTGGCCAATGAAGAAGAGAAGTGCAAGAGGGCGTACCACCGGAGGAACAAAGATGCACCATTTGAAAAAAATTCTAAAATTGTAGAATGTATGACCCATCCGATAACTGGAATTCAATTCAGGCAGTGGTCGTCTAGCCGCAGTTCCGCAAAATTTTCCAATGCATATTTGTGGTCCCGCCTGGCGGAGGCGAAAGACTTTGTGCTGGTTATTTAAATGAGTTAAAAGGAATTTAATTGACCTACTTCTTCAAAATTTTTATGAGGGAGTGGGTGGATATATTTTCTCACCTAGCCCTCTTTTAGAACTCTCTCTCTCTCTCTTATTCAAGCTTGCGGCGAACATGGACAAACAGACATGGAAGCTGTAAAATACAATCAAAACAAGCACTCAGGTGGGAACACTCCTTCAAGTTCACTGCCAGTCAGGCAACACATGAAGGCCTAGAAACGGTGCGGTAAGCTCCAATAACGCATTGAGATAGTGCAGATCTTTGCGGAAAGGAAGTGAATGTAAAAAACTATTTCTCAACTAACTTCCTGAGCACAAAGACATAGATGGGAGCTGGCGTGGGAAGCGAAGTGCAAAGCACCCGATTCCTTTGCATAAAGAACCGATTGAATTGCTAATTAAAGAATTGACTTATAGACGCTCCGCTTGAAGGTGGGTGAGAACAAAGCTCGTGAAGTCGATAAAGCTCGCAAGTCGTGGCAAACTTGCTCAAACTGGTGCCGGAAGAGGTCGTATCTTAGCTTGTACTTTTTGAAAAAGGAGAACACTTTAAAGGAAGGCGGAATACTAAAAGAAAATTGCATCATAGGATGACATACAGAGAGGCTGTGGGCTGGTTTGACGGAAAAGCTATAAAAGTTGCAGAGCGGACGGAAAGAAGGATATAAATTTTGACCTACTACAAGACTGCCCTGCTCTAAGTTGGCCCACACCAGTTGGTGTGTTCATGTTCTAAAATTGGTAACCTTCTTCTTTTTAAACTTGTCACTTGGAAGTTAGCTGCGTCTCCGAGAAGAGAGGGCATAATTTTTCTACTTTCAGACTTCGAGTCTGACATAACTATATAATTTTAAGGAAGTTTCGAGTCTAAAGAACTTGGAGTATGATGACCGACTTAGAAGGAAAAAGCTATCAGCTTATGAACCGCATAGGTGCCGCTATGAAACCACATGTCACCATTCGCTCTGACTTTTGATCGGAGGGGAGATAACAAAGTCTTAAAAATATTCATAAAGACGCGGAGGAGCTCTTTACCTCGTACCTTCCCAAGCGGAAAAACGGTTTCACTTCGCCTCTAAATGCCTGTATATTCACAAAGACGGGAAGTAGTCTCTCGTCTCGAGCTACTCAGAAGAGGATCAGTCCCTCACCACCTCTAACTACTTTGTCCAATGCACATTAGGGGAAGGAATAGTTTAACTAACCTACGACTTATACCACCTCAGGGGATGTAGTACCTCGCCCATATTCTCTGGCATGAATATCCCATCTCTTACACTATTAATCCTAATAATTCCTCTCAACTTACCTTGAAAACCAAGAATAAAGATAATTCAATTCAAATCGAAGGATAGAAAAAGTTACAAAAAACAGTATATCAACAGAAATGTAATATCGTCAGTGTCATAAAGATAGCGTGGTATTAAAATATATTCAAAAAAATATAAAAAAAAAACAAAAAAAAATATTATTTTCCTTTCGGTTTGAAAATTATAAGAAATAGCAAAATTTTTGGGTACAACAATAAAAACCAGCTCCAACGAAATTATTCAATTGAAATAATTTGGAAATTGAATTTGTGCAACGCATTTGCATTTCTTTGGAATACCAGCAAAAACCCGAACGCAACCGCATACTCCCATCGCTCATTCTCTCGCTCGCAGCACAACCACATGCCGCTTCGCTATGACGACTGTTGTATTCAATTTAGAAGTGACTGACTGACTGACTATATATATATATATATACATTTATACATACACAAAGATAAGCATATAAATTGATAAACCAATAACGTCACAAATATTTAGAAATTGGAAACAGTTGCCGCTATATCCAGCGTCTCTCATCCTCCTCCTCTCTTCCTCGCTCACTCTACCACTTTTTTCATGCAGTTCATTGGGTTATTGTGTTTAAATATTATTCTATACAATACATACAGTCTCTATTCCTTTTTTTTTTGTTATTGTGCAGTTATTGCTTTAATAACCACAATTCGTGCGTACACCATTGCTTTAGCTGACAGTGGAGGGTCGGAAAAGAGAGAGAGAGGGAGTGAAATGAAATGAAATGAACTCAATTGCTGCATTTCAATTGTCTGACTGAATTTTAATTTCAGTTTATTTTTTGTAGTTTCAATTTTCTGCTATTTTTGTGTTGCTTTTTCTTTTTTGCTGGTATAGAAAATTTGATTAAAAATTTCGTTCATCAATGGTTGGCCTTTAACTAAATGGAAATTTGTTTGGTTGCATTTGAAGTGAATTTAAAAAGTCATGTGGCATTGGAAAGAATCGCACTTTGAACTAGAAAAAGATGTAATTTAAAAGCATTTATAACTTACAGCAATTACAAGAAAGTCACTTGAATTTTTTTTACTTGAGATCGTTCGACCAGTTTTTAAGATAACTCAAAATGAAATATTTTATTTGGAGGCGACAGTGTGTTAAAAGTTGTGTAAAAAATTAAAAAGTACTGGACAACACCAGGGGTGTTTCAAATTTTAATGTTAAAAATCAATGTACAGAAAATTTCGACCAGTTCTTATATAAGTCCACATATATATATATGTATGTACGTTTATTTTTTTCAATTATCAATCTAGTTAAGTTATGGTTATTTATACAAATTTTTCGGCAAGTTCAATTGTTTATATAGTTTTTTTATACCAGTTTAGACCAGCTATTGTGCTAATTCAAATTCAAAATTTGTGTTAAAATTTAAAAACTACGGAAAAGTTTGTTCCATCAACATTAGTAGCTGGTGGACCAGATTAAGCTTAGTTGGTGTGGCTCGTTTTTTAAGATAAAAAGTGTAAAAAAATATCTATTTAATTTCTTGCAATTTATACCATTTTTGGCAGGATTGTTTGTTGTGTGTTTTGTAAATAATATTATTATCTATTTTTTTATTTACACAAGTTTTATTGCCAATTTTATATTATCCATTTCGATTATAAGCATAGCTTACTTAATTTAAACCAGTTTAGACCAGTACTTATGCCAATTTGAATGTATTAATGTCTTTTGTGATTCTTAGAATAATTTTATATTTCTTCTATACCCATTAATAACTTTTCTGTTCGCTCAGATGGATAAAAAGGATATTTTGTTAATTTTGAGGATATCATCATGAATTTGTACTACATTTTATTTTATATATAAAATTTCATTAGTTTTAAATTTTCTGTTTGTAAATGCTTTTACGGTCCACATTTATTTTTATAAATTTATATTGTTACAGTTTATACCAGTTATCTTATTTAGCCATTTATACACAAGAAAAATATGTGTTTATACCAGTTTTTCCGATTAAGCAATTTTATGATGTATTTAATTTATTGCCAATACACAAGAAAATAAAAACATGAGCTTATGCCAGTTTATACCAGTTTTTTTGTGTAGCCAAATTAAGCAATTTTATGATATTCGAAACATTTTTTGTTTTAATTTATTGCCTATACACAAAAAAACGTAAATATGAGCTTATACCAGTTTATACCAGTTTTTTTGTGCAGCCAAATTATGCCATATTATGATGTGTTAAGCGATTTTTTAACTTCTCTTAATTTACAAGAAAATACAATTTATACCAGTCACACATTTAAGCTCTTTCTGCAGTTTTAGGCTGCGCTTAAAATTGTAAACTCTTTTATTAAGCTACTTATTAACATATGTATACCCTTAGATATGTTTTTTGTACTTTAAAATTTTTCCCTGAAATGACTTTCAAAAAAGAAATTATTAAAAATACTTGTACTTTCCTTTGCTATCAATTAAAAAATTTCCATACAAAACAAACACAAAGTATGTACGAGTATGTCCACAAAAAAACGCCATTCACTTAAGTCAACGCAGAAAAATAAGTAATTTATAGCTTTATTCACTTAAGTAACCACTTTTCTTACCAAAAAAAAAAAAAAAAAAAAAAAAATCCATATTTACTTTATGAAAATATCTCAAGAAAAAGAAAAAATTTAAAAAACACGCGCACTTGCTTCAATTTCATAAGAGACATATACAAAAAAACACAAGAATTGAGCGGCGAAA